ATATACATTGTACTATTATATTCCAAAATACATTTTATTTTAATTCATACCTATTAAGTCAGCCAACACGGAATAACTGGTAATGATCAATCCGGCTACAATTACCACAATTATTTTTGAACGCATTTTATTTATTGATTGTTTTACGTTTGATAGTTTATAACTGAAACGTGTAATTGTATGGTTATTCTATGCGACAATTAATTGCTAATATGGACGTCCAGATGGTTTAGGTAGAAACAAATTTATATATATTGCAGCAATACTGCAGCGTATACTGTACTTTAGTTTAACTGTATTTCAGTATTACATCACTTTATTTTGTAATGATTGGACAATTTGTGTTAGTTTTTACTTCTTAGGAATGTTATATCACTCCCAACGTATACTTGTCTATATAAGGGCAGTGTTTCCCAACATTCGGGGTTTTTTGGTAGTTATCTTTCTCACTGCACGTAACGTGCGTACAGTGAGAGAGGGATAGTGTTCTCTCTTAAGCCGAGAAACATAGTTTTAGTTTAACTTTATTTTACTTTTAATAAAACCTTTTATTATAAAATTGTGTGCGTTTTATTATAACATTGTGTGCGTTTTATTATAACATTGTGAGTTATTATAACTACTAACTAAGCGAGAGAAGCAACCTGTGGTGGTCTACCGGACACAGCGGTCACGAGAGTGTGCACAGACCTCGAGTCGGTACGCGGACCGACGGTGCGTCGGTGGACGTACCGACGAGCGGCACACGTAAGTCATAGGTAACGCCCGCTCTACAGCACTCGACTGAAGCCGCGTTAGACAGCCACAGAAGAATTCCAGCAAAGGTGCATTCGTGTTGCAATATTTATATAATTCATAAGCAACGTTTATTGTTGTAGTGTATATAACTTTATATTAAACGATGGGCAAGGCGGGCATAATGGTGCATTTGAAGGTCAACATACTTTCTAATAAGTTTACAGTAGTTTCCTTCTTTCCATTCTTTTCTTAGTATCATTTATATTCTATAATTGTAAATTACAATATAAAATATGCAAATGATAAATTGCTATTATATAATTTATAAAAAATATATTGTTCTAACATTAAATATCTAGAAAAATATATTGTGCAACTGGAAAGAAAATATAAATATAATTAATTGATATTATTTAACTTATAAAATATAGTAATACTATATTAACGGATTAAATAAATCCATGCATTAATTGTTGATAACTTATTAATCATTGTAAATTGAACTAATTTATGAAATTAGAAATTAAAATAATATTTCAATTTATCACTTTATATTTTTACAATTATAAAATTATAAATATTCATCATGGTGGCTTTTGATGTAAAAATGTTTAGTACATTCTACAATACTATTGCATTTTAATAAACACCATTTATATAATTTACTATTACGTAGCCATTTAAAATACATGCTAGTTGAATATGAATAACTTGAATTAATATTGTACAATAAATCGTAAGGCCATGATGATGAATTGAATTGCTTATAACTTGCCTGTACGCATTGGTAGTAACATGCGTGCCTAGTTATACGGTCTGTACAATAAATAGAGTGACCAACAATTTAGACAATTGAATGTTTGTACTTAACATGAGTTTTAATGTCATTTAATATGTCAAATATTAGATTTCCCTTTTGTTGATGGCTAAAAATACCCACGTTCTTTGGGTGAATAAGCATGCCGAAGTTAGTGCCATTATAATATTTAGGCAGCCCAATTGATAAATGATTTATTTTATTGTTTCTAGTAGAATTTGGCGATATGGTAAAACAATAACGCCCCTGATTTATACCATAATTACTACAATTGCAATCATCTGTTTTACCAGTTAAATATTTAAAATAACATTGCAATTAAGATACAACTAATAATTTAATTTGTTTGCCAATTGACTCGGAATTAAAGGACAAAGTTCAATGCAAATGGGTGAAATGCCAAAAATTTTATATTAAATTTTTTTATTTGTTTTTAATTTGCGAAATTAATTATCATTGTGAGCATAATTTAAATTGATATAAATGATGTACAATAATTACGTTAATCAATATAAAAAACATGCATAAATGTTACTAAATTTCTTAATTTTGACATAACTTTTACCCATGATGTCAGATTTGGTAAATTCCTTCAGATTTCGATTCCTATCATTCATACCTTTCCATTGATATATAATATGATATACTTATTCATAAAATACAAGATTTGATATTCAAATTTCCCCGATAAAAGTGGTCACTGCGACTAAACCCGAAGTCGTCTGGCCAAATAAAATATACCACCGTACTTCCTACAGAGTGTACTTTCGATTTATAACAAAAATTCACGATTGCACTCTAGGCATTATTTGAACATTATTATTTATGTACACCTTTCTACACATTTAAATGCAGTAACTTTTATATCAAATATGATTACTAGAATTCCGAAAGGCAACAACTTGTAGGTTATATTCTTTATTCATTTTATTTATTCTATTTTTGTATTTTAAATGCACAAATCAATGTATTATTCAACATGTTTGTTTGATAAAACTATTATTATTAACTCATGATTAACCAGAGGTTTTTCCTATAAAAAGTACGATCTTATAAAAATACTCTAACCACTATAGTTATGATAAATTAAATAGTCAACTAATGAGGTGTTGTTGTCAACTAACAGTACAGTTGGCCTATTTATTAATGCATAAATAGTTTAATGTTTTTGTGAATCAGGCATTCAATTGGTTGAACAAAACTGGTAATAATTACTATCAAAATTTTTATGTAAAATCTCTTTATTAACAAATGTTAATTCAATAACTTAATAATTTTAATATATTTATTGATTTAGTGTTATTATATTTACAAGGACCTTCTTGTCGAACGATATCTTAATAAAAGGCCACTAATTGTGTAGTTTAGGCCAAATAAAAAATATAAATCCAATATCTCGGGCTGATAGCCATAAACTACCGAGATTTGGCTATTTTGGTGATCGCGCCCATACAGTGTAATGCAATGCAGTACTGGTGATTAGCCCAAGCACTGTGTGAAACACCGTTTTTCAATGCTATACGCCGTATACGCGGAATCACTAAAATGGCCATATCTCGGTCGTTTGTGGCTATCAGCCCGAGATATGAAATTTATATTTTTTATTTGGCTTAAACTACATGATTAGTGGCTTTTTATTAAGATATCGGTCGACAAGCTCATACCGTTCGCTCGTTAGTATAAAATCTATCTCAAATTTACATTATAAAAACATTTATGTTTAGAAAATGTACTTTATTTAATTATTAACGTGATTAAAATAACAAAAACACTTTAATATCTAATGAAAATATAAATAAAGTACAATACAGTACATAATGATTATCGATAAATGGCACTTGGTTGAATTATTTCTAGATTATGTAAATACTTCTCTGTTACCCATGACAATTAGACTACAATTTAATAAACAGTGATTTAATAAATAGATAATATAGTTGTGCATTAAAATTACAGAGTGTACAAAAATTGACCTAACAAAAGTAAACTCGAATATTTTGAAAAGTATTTGGTCTAGAAATTTATATAATACATCAAATTAATAGTCAACTGCAGGAGTTTGTGAAATATATTTTGAAATATTCGAGTTTACTTTTTTAGGTCAATTTTTGTACACTCTATAAGTTTAATATATGAATAAATATTTCATTATTATTGATAATCAAATATTTACCAAGTAATAAAACTTATTTACTACTTGCAAAATAAGTAATTATTACTTTATCATTAATGTATAAAATTATTATATACCGGTAAACATATCAAACTTCTTAACTATTAAACATATCAAACACAATAGCAATGCATTTAAAAATAGTGGCCGATTCGAGATTACCATGGATTACGTTTAATAAAAATGGCCAAAATTGCTATGGCATACAGTGCGAGCTCATTAAATATATAGCAAGCCCATTAAATTTCACGTACCAATTAATTAGAGAACCTACAGGCGTTGGCTATCAATTAGGTAATGGCACCTGGAATGGAATGGTTGGACGCATACAGCGAGATGTAATAAACCTAATTAATTTTAACGTATACTAAAATTTTAAGCCCATAAACGTTTTATTTTATATTAATTTTAATAATGTAACAGGCACATATGACCGGATCACCCGTACCGTACACTTACAATATATACGGTGCTACAGATATGACCGACACGTTTACTATGGAAGAGTTAGTGCTGATGTTGCGGTGGGAAAATACTGGTCACTCTATCAACCACTGGCTGTACAAACTGTTTGACATTCAATGTTTGCTTATATTCTTTCTTATGTTAACAATAGTCTCATTATTTATGACTATTTATCGGAACCATATTTTAAAATGTAAATTACATTCTAAACTGTTTGTCTTTAAAATGATCATGTTCAGACTGGTATCATCCGTTATTGGTCAAGGTAAACTTTAAAAATGTATATTTGTAAAATTACTCTTACTAAATTTGCAATTTAATTTAGACATCCAAATTACTCGTACTTTTAATACAAATTATACAACAATTATTTCAATAACATCGTGGTTATTGAGTGCTTTATTCATATCAATACATATCTCGAGTGAAATCACAGCTAAATATCAGTTAAAGATTCCCAACAAACAGATCCAAACACTACAAGAATTGGTCGATTCGGACGTAAAACTCATTAAAACATTTTCTTTTGATGCCTTAAATGGTATTTTAGACAAACAGTTAATTAATGCTATTATTAGCAAAGAAATGACTAAACGAGTTATATTGAGCGATATTTTTAAAACAAGTAAATACATGGATGAGGTATATGAGGGTAAAAGTGCTATATTTTTCTGTGAAGTACCACTCAAACAGTTGACAATCACATATCCGTACAAAAGGTTAATGAGAAATGATATTAAGCTCCGATTTATGGACGAGAGATACGGACCGCCAGTGTTTATATGTTTGGCGTTAAACAGAAACCTATTATCTAAACAGTTTAGAGATAGTGTTAACATAAGGTAACTTAACTAGTTGCTTATACTGTATAATAATATAAATCATATATTTTTCAATAGAGTTTCTCATTATTATTCTATTGGAATTGTGGCCAAAGAATTAAAACATTGGTTTCGGAAAAGCAATGAATTATTTGATATAAAATCCATTACACAAAGCGATTACAAAGAAATAGAAATTAATAACTTGTTTAGCATTTTAATTGTTTTACATTTTGTTTACGGCTTTAGTATTATTATTATTACAGTTGAAGTAAATTGTAAACGTATCAAATTAATTTGCTGCGAATAAGGTTGTAAATTTACCAATCTGTATTATATGAATTAATAATATATTGTTTAACAAATTAGATTAATTAATTTTTGTAACGTTCATAGTTTATCATGTTCATTATTATCTATATTTATATTGTATTTATAATTAACTAATAATTAACTACATAAACAAATTGACAACAGCTTTACATAATTTATACAATACTAAGTCTCCCACAGAAGTTAATGCCATAACAATTGTGTTATACGTCCGACCGATTGAACCGCCGATATTAGTCGCACCCGACGTTTGGCCGCCGGACGTCATACGCGATGAACGTCGAGACCTATCCGTTGAACTCAAATTGTACGCCCGGTTAGACACCCAGTCGTGTTTGTGATGCTTAAGCTCACCTAGATTATTACAAAAACAATTAAAATAACTTAAATAATAATCATAGTAACAAACAAATCACCATCATTATCCATGGGCCCGGTAGCCAGCATAACATAATACTGGTTGTTAACCAAATCAAACGTCATATTATTAACTCGGGTCTGTAGGGCTCGAGTCCAGCTACAGGTGAGCACACCGTTTGAGTGGCGGGTTTTCACGTCGGATATGCCGTCCATATGTACGGTACGGACGCCAAACTTTTTTTCGCTTTTATGTCCAAATGTCAGGCCCTGGCGTTCAATAGCGATGCCGTCGGAGCCGAGTATGCATTCGGTGACCGAGTCGTCGCCCATCATGTCATCGGTGGACAGACCGACGGCCACGTACTGACCGGTACTCGTGTCTGCATTCCGGTACCAATTGAGTTCAAAACTGGCCACCGATGCCGACCACCCGGTGCCCGATGGCGGCCGTACTCGCAATAATACGGTACAGTTTGCGCGTTGTGTACATTTAGATGGCATACCATAGCACTGGTACGCCTGTCCGCACTCCCTATACACGTGATCACTTTTACCATCACTTATGATTGACAGCATTATAAATGTTTTAATTATTATTATTAAATATTTTGACATTTTTACTAAATTTTTGTTAAAATTTTAATTATAAAAATGTTTTATTATTTTTTCGCTGCAATACTTTGTATGAAAACTATTGTATAAAATAGTGTTTGTAATAAAAAAGTTGTAAAAATTGTTTAACAAAACACTTGTTATATTTACAGTCAATCACTAAATACAGTAAACAATGATTTAAATATCTCATACACCATAGGGTTAGTAAATTAATTAATGTATAATTTAATTATTAAATTAAATTGGCTATTAAATTAATATGATTTAATATAATAGTTAACAATCTAAATTATTATTAAATTTTTAATAAAATAGCTATAACTGTAATAATAAAATCACTTTAGTTTAAGAGAACATGATTAATTGATTGTTATAAAAAAACCTGAACATTGTATTTATTCATATGTTTTACCTTGATTTGTTCATTGAGAGCATTATAATAATTATTAAATAAAATACAATGTAAATTATTTCAAAAATGTTTAGTCTTTTATTTAAACTCTACAAATATCAGATTTGTTAAATACACCAAGTTTAATTAAATATTTGTTACACATGTTAACTTATTCAAACTTCTACCATAATATATAAGTAATATTACATTTTAAATAATTATCCTTATTTATATAAAAGTATTTAAAAGTACACTATAAGCTATAGTTTATACATAACAACAGTAGTACAAAGAATACACGATAGAAATCAAATGTTAATTAAATAATAATAAAAAATGCATTTAGTAAGTATTTTACAACAAATGGATTATAATAATATTGGCCACAAATGCAACTAGCAAAATTATAGCTGGATTAACGGTTCCCATATTTGCCCCATCGCTGGACTCAGTTGTGGTCGTCGTTGCCGTTGTTGTAGTGATTATTGCAGACTTGGGTGTTGTAGAGGTGGTAGTGTCGCCAGGTTTTGGAGCAGTTAATGATGCTGTAACAATTAGATCATTATACAATCAAATAATATTGAACTAGCTCATTTAGACATTAATTAAAATTAATTGTAATTGTATAATAATATTGATAAACTATAAAGTTTTAAATAACAATTCAATGACCATGATCATACCGCTGTTAGGTAATTGTGCTCCTCTATTACAATTGATCATTGACAATATGACCACAATGCAAATCACAAATTTCAACATAATTGTAGTTTTCAAATTTTTACAGCACTTATCCAAAGTGTGAATAATTTATAAATAATTATTAAATAAATTATTAATACATATTTAACTGTAATATTAACAAATATTTTTAGTAAAAACACTTGCAATGTACACTAAACACCACATATAAATTACATACTTAAATAATCATGCTACATTTCAATTGAAATAATTATTATATTGCAAAATCAATTATTATTATAAATTTTTTTGTAATGGTAATAAAAAAATTAAGTATAAACAAATAAATCGCTCACAAATAAAATTGTAAATTATACTGGTTGACAAATTGGGGTTTATGATTTCTAAATTTATTTATGTGAATCATGTGTGTTGTCAAAATAACTAGATGACAAATGACGGATCCAGGTGCTTTAACATCGTAGTAGAATGTAGACATCATTATTAACATAGCAATTGTAAATGGGTTTATATCAAATATAATTTTATTAAAACTATTTATTTAACAATTACTTTGTAACAATTACTAGTATAACTAGAGACAATATTTTTATTTAAATAATGTTTTAAATAGTGTTTTAACTAAATATGCATAAGATTCTGAGGATAAACGAATCACACAATTAAAGCCCTTTAAATGACATTTTATTTCTCGTATAAATACATATTAGACTAATAAATATTTACATATTTACCTGTTAATTCATCTGATTATTAATTACTTAAACTAATAATGCTCAACCAAATAACTGTAAAAAATTACCTAAAATAAGCTTAATCAATATTTTTGAGATGATTTAAAGTAAATGTTTTACGTTTTTTAAATTTAAATTTCAAAACTTTACTTTACATTAGATTGCCAACAAGATTAATTTGTGTACTTATTTTATAAAATATTATAGATTTATAGTACAGTGAAACATGAACTGGGTGAACCATGAGTTGTGTGAACTAAGCATTTGTATGAACCAAATCTAAAAACATAGACTAGTCTCTCATAGACATAATGTTAAAATAACATGATTTGTGTGAACATG